GTGGCGTCGGCGTCGGCGGCGGCGTCGGCGGTGGCGGCGGCGGCGTCGGTGGAGGCGGAGATGCCGCGGCTGGACATCACGGGCGAGGCGCTGCGCAAGTGGTACGTGGAGCGGCTGGAGATCTTCCCGCTCGAGGTGACGTTCTGCGTGGGCGACAACGAGCTCGGGTGGCCGGTGATCCAGGACGAGACGGCGGTGGAGCTGCTGCCGCTCGGGCGGTCGCACCTGTACGAGACCAACGAGGAGCTGCTGCGGTCGGTGGTCAAGTACTACGGGCGGCAGGCGCGGCAGGAGGTGTACAAGATCATCGGCTCACTCGACGCCATCGGCAGCCCGCTGGGAGCCATCGCCAAGGTGACCAAGGGCCTGCGCGACATCGTGATCGTGCCGTGGTCCTCGCTCGTGCTCGACGACACGCCGGGCGCCTTCTTCGTGGGCGTCTCCAGCGGGCTGTGGTCGCTGCTTTACAACGTGACCGACGCGGGCCTCACGACGCTGCTCCGGGTGATCAACGTGGTCTCGTGGCTCACCCTGCAGCTCACCTTCGACGACGAGTACCAGCAGGCCAAGCGCCGCATGCGCCGCGCCCACCCGCCCAACGTGTGGTGGGGCATCGCCCAGGGCTCGCGCGAGCTCGCCCGCGGCCTGTGGACCGGCGTCACGGGCCTCCTCACCCAGCCCTGGCGCGGCGCCCGCCTCCGCGGGTCCCTCGGCTGCCTCACGGGCGTGGCCAAGGGCCTGGCCGGCCTCCCGCTCAAGCCCCTCGGCGGCGCCTTCGACTTTCTGGGCAAGACCATCGAGGGCCTCCTCCGCTCCATGGGCACCGGCTACACCACCCAGCGACGCCTCCGCGAGCCCCACTCCACCCTCCTCGAGCTCTCCTACGCCCAGGTCCTCTCCATCCAGGCCTGGCTCGACGAGGCCCTCCGCGAACGCTACGTGTCCCACTCCTTCGTCAAGATCAAGACACGCCGCGGCCGCTTCCGCGACCGCCTCCTCCTCCTCTCCAGCGGCTCCTTCCACGTCATCAACGTCACCAGCATGTCCGGCGGCTACCACCCCAAGACCATCCCCCTCAACCTCATCTCCGGTGCGCGCCTAACCCACACACACACCAACCCTACACGACACGCCACACGACACACACGACACACGCGCACACGACACACACACACATCGGTTGTTTGGTTGGTTGGTCGGTCGCTCACGGCGTGGGCGCAGAGATCCTGGTGCCGCTGCTGCCCGAGACGGCGTTCACGATCTGCACGTCGCGGGTGACCTGCGGGCGGGACCGGTTCGACTTTGTGACGGCTGACCGGGAGGCCCTCATCCAGCGGTGCACGCAGCTCATCGCCGAGAGCGAGGGAAAGCGCATCAAGGTGCGCGGCATCGCGTCCGGCGAGCAGGAGGACCCGCACGACGCCGGCCTCTACTGAGGACCTGCACCGAACCACCACCACCACCACCCCCCCCCTCTAGCACCATGGCCTCATGTACACAACACACCAGCGCGGGAGCGGGAAAAGAAAACAAATTTTTATTTATTGGCCCACTTGGCCTGTTGTTTTTAAGGTGGCGGTTCGGGGGGGTCGTTCTCCGTCTTTTCCTGCGCTGCCGCGGCCGGAGGTTTCGCTCGGCAAGTACAGATCTCTTCTTCTTTCTCCGTTCCTCGAGACACTTGAGCACTAGAGCGTCCCTCGCTCCCAGTTTCGATTCATTCCCCCATCCCCTAAAATGGTACCGGCTCTGCTGCCCTCATTTATTTAATCCATTGTCTTGAAAGAATTCACGCATTCCTTCCTCTCATCTCCTGTTCATATCATTTTGACACTGCAATTCTGTCTTCCACCTCGTTGTCTTTCTCCTACAATTATAATTTTGGCAATGGATCGGGAGTATCTGTACAACTCCGTGGGGGGGCTTCGCCGCTGGCACCGACACTCAAACCAATCTCTTTTGTTGCGGCTGCTTGTGGGCGTAGGTGCTGTATGTGCTGTACGAGTCCGCTTCAGGCTACGCCCTCTTCGAGCGCATCGAATCGGAGGAAATCGCCGATGAGTCGCCGGAGCTGCAGAGGTCGATCCAGGACTTCGGCCGTTTCTCGAGGATTGTCAAGTTCAAGTCTTTCGTGCCCTTCGTCTCGGCCGAGAGCGCTCTCGAGAACGTCAACGCCATCTCTGAAGGTGCGTCCCCCATCACACACCACGCCATTCATCAATTGTTTTATTTTTCTTGTTCGGGATTTGTTTGTCTGCTGTGTGCTTGGTGGATGAGCATCATCAACTAAACGCGGGAGGGTATTGCATTGTATTGTGGTGGTGGTGGGTGGGTGCAGGTCTGGTGCACGACGTGTTGAAGAACTTCCTGGAGCTCAACCTGCCGGGCGGGGGCAAGAAGAAGAGCAAGAAGGTGGAGCTGGGCGTGACGGACGAGAAGCTGGGCGGCGCCATCAACGACTCGCTGGAGCACGTGGCATGCGTGAAGAGCAAGGCGGTGGCGGAGCTGACGCGCGGGATCCGGCTGCACTTTGCCAAGTTCATCAAGGAGTTCAAGGAGGGCGACTACGAGAAGGCGCAGCTGGGTCTGGGCCACTCGTACTCGCGGAGCAAGGTCAAGTTCAACGTGAACCGGGCGGACAACATGATCATCCAGACCATCAACCTGCTCGACACGCTCAACAAGGACCTCAACACGTTCTCCATGCGGTGCAAGGAGTGGTACTCGTGGCACTTCCCGGAGCTGGTCAAGGTGGTGCCGGACAACTTCCAGTTCGCGCGCGTGGTCAAGTTCCTGAAGAACAAGGCCGAGGCCGACGAGAGCAAGATCCCCGGCCTGGTGGACATCACGCAGGACGAGGCCAAGGCCAAGGAGATCATCGACGCCGCCAAGGCCTCGATGGGCACCGACATCTCCGACCTCGACATGCTCAACATCGAGAAGTTCGCCGACCGCGTGATCCACCTCTCCACCTACCAGCAGCAGCTCCAGGAGTACCTGAGCAAGAAGATGCACGTCATCGCGCCCAACCTCAGCGAGCTCGTCGGCGAGCACGTCGGCGCGCGCCTCATCTCGCACGCCGGCAGCCTCACCAACCTGGCCAAGTACCCGGCCTCGACCGTGCAGATCCTGGGCGCCGAGAAGGCCCTCTTCCGCGCGCTCAAGACCCGCGGCAACACGCCCAAGTACGGCCTCATCTTCCACTCGTCCTTCATCGGCCGCGCCGCCGCCAAGAACAAGGGCCGCATCTCGCGCTACCTGGCCAACAAGTGCTCCATCGCCTCGCGCATCGACGCCTTCTCCGACGTGCCCACCACCAAGTTCGGCCAGAAGCTCAACGCCCAGGTCGAGGAGCGCCTCAAGTTCTACGACACCGGCGCCCTGCCCCGCAAGAACGTCGACGTCATGAAGGAGGCCCTCTCCGAGGCCCTCACCGAGGCCGACCAGAAGCAGCGAGAGGACGGCATGGACGTGGTCTCCACCACCGCGGAGAGCACCGACAAGAAGAGGAAGAGGAAGGCCGCGGAGAAGGACGACAGCGACAGCGACGAGGAGGAGAGCAAGAAGGACAAGAAGAAGAGCAAGAAGGCCAAGAAGTCCAAAAAGGAGGAGGAAAAGAAGAAGAGCAAGAAGGACAAGAAGAAGAAGAAGTCCAAGCACTAAGTCTGCGTGTGTGTACTTGGGGGGGACGAGGGATCAACAAAGACTTGATAAACAATCAAACAGGGGAAGGGCCAGCGTTTGATAAAGGCTCAGCAAAACTGATGGCTGGTGGCCTTCCCCTGTTTGGCTTCTCTTGTCCGCTTGTCGGCAAAAATGGGTGTTTGACTGTCTGCGGACTTTCCAGGCCACCACGACCGCGGTGACTCAACCGCCCTTGGCTGCGAGAGCACAGTGCTTTTTCCCGATCCTCGGTAGCAACACAGACATCTCATCTTGCTCCTTTCCTCCAACACACGCAATGGTACTGTTCCTCGCTTCTACGCGCCCTTTCTCTTGCTGCTCCATCGCGGTCCAAGCGTAATCGCTCACACAAGTCCATTTACTTTTGTTTTTTTTTCAATTGGATGCTGGGGGACATGGAGAGTAGAAGACCGGTACCTCTGTAGGATCTGCTCGCCCCGCTTCTGCGGCTGCCCCGCCCCGTGGTGCTGGCGCTGGCCTTCGCCGGTTCGCCTTCTCCGCCATTTTTCTTCTTCTTCTTCTTCAATTTCATCTTCGAGCGATCAAATTCTTGCGCGCTCAATCAAATCCTGACCCCTTCCCGATCTGCACGTTCTTCTCTTGTGGGCTACACTCAACAGGAGGAAGGCTGTCGGTGCTGGCGGCGGTGGCGGCGGAGGCGGAGCCCGCTCTGCTAGCGGTTCCTCGGCGTCTGGTGGTATTCTTCGCTTCTACTCGGAGGACGCCGAAGGGCTTCAAGTGTACGTGAGCAGCGGTCCCTCTTTCTTTTCGCCCAACCTACGCGTCACTTGCGCTGACGCCCAACCACACCAAACCTCGTATGTGTCTGCCCGCCAACAGTCAGCCGACCGTGGTGATCGTGGTGAGCCTGGTGTTCATCGGCGTCGTCATTTTCATGCACCTGTGGGGCCGCTTCTTCCTGCGAGGATAAGCAGCGCCATCGAGCGAGAGACGCGGGCAAGAGAGGCCGAGGGAAGAGAGAGCTGGACAACCAGCGACTGTGTTGCTCTCGCGAACAGGCGTAGGGAGCGAGCCGGGGAGAAGGGCGAAGAGAGAGAAATGTGGCAGGGCGCCCACCAACAAACCAACAACACGAACACCCAAAACAACCTTACCCAGAGATAATTAATTAGAGGGGGGGGGTACGACAACAAATTGAAGGCCTTGAAGAGAGAGGAAGAAGAGAAAGAAGAGCGGGTGCGCTGCTAGCCTTTCGATCCACTTCCTCTTTTACCTGTTATTTTATTTATTTATTATCGCTCCTACTCAGCCTAGCCGCGCTTGGCACTCGACTAGTACTACTCCTCATAAATCTTGAGCCTTCGTCGGACATCTTCGCCAGCGCCGCCCCTACCCCCTCTGGAGAGGGCCAGACAGCGAAAGCGAAAAAGAACGAAGCTGACCTCCTCTCGCGGTCTTATCACCCCTCATGTCCACGCCAACGACCAAGGGCGGACTGGGTGTCGCCTCTCCCACCAACTTGAGCTCAAGTGGAAGCGCCCCCACGGCGGGCGAAGGTGACGGCAAGCCTGCCTGGCATCGGTCCTCTAAGGCCCGCCAGAGCGAGGGCTCCCTGCCTCTGCCCCCTCTCCACTCCACCACTCCCTCATCCCGCCCTGCCCCATCTTCCGATCTCCTCCCGGCCTCCTCTTCCACCACCACTTGTACGCCCCCCCCCTCCCCGAACCAAAAATCTGCTCCGGTGTAGCGGCTCGATGACACATTTCGCGTGCTCCTCTCCACAGCGACAGAAGCAGAGCCAAATGAGACATCCAAGGATGCCAAGGGGCGAGGCGCCTTCGCCGGATGGTCACGACGCGACACCATGGCTGCTTCTTCCTCATCTTCTCCCTCTCTCTTCGAGGGCAGCAAAGCATCTACCCACAAGCCCTCGCGCAAGCATAACCGCGAAGACCCTTCTGCTGTACGCTCTAGCCCCTCCCCCATTTAACCTTCCCCTTCTCGATTTTAGAAATTAATCTCTTCTTTAATTATTATGAAATCTCATGAATTTGTACTCTGCTCGCCGAGGGCGACACCAAGGCCTCGTTGCATGTGGGACTTTTTATAAAATACATAAGTGGGATTGATGGGAAGTGACGTGCGGCCCTGTTTCTCTTCGCAACGCAGGGAGGCAAGCCGCAGCAATCTACGTTTGGGCCGTCTCGAGGGCGAGGCCTCACCGTCGCCCTCGGCGTTGCTGCGACCGAGGACTCCACTCCCACAGCCGACTCCACGGACGGCGATTCTGCCGACAACCTCGCCCTCGCTGGCTCTGCCACCATCAGCGCCAGCATGGGGGCCGCCGTCACCGCCGAGGTTCGCCCCTTCCCCTTTCCCTCCGCGCGTTGGCGCTGCCCCTCGGTGACACCTGAATCTGAACACACACGACACACACACACGCGCTTCAAATACACTCGCTGTATTGACTTGTCGATTAACAAACAGATGAAGCGCAACCGATCGTACTCTACGGCGGTGACGCCGCGGCAGCAGACGGGGAGCACGCCCGAGCTGAATCGGCTGGGGCCTGCTCCGCGGCCCTCCCTGCCGGAGGCCTGGGTCGGGGTGGGCGAGGAGACGGTCAAGTGCGTGGCGCTCCGGGCCTTTCGGGGCGAGCGCGAGGACGACCTGGCGTTCGATCAGGGCGACGTCGTCGAAGTGGCGCGCGCCGAGCTGCTCAAGGCCGCCCACTGGTGCCACGGCCGCTGCAAGGGGCGCTCCGGCCTGTTCCCCACGAGCCACGTCAGGCAGCCCGACAACAACGCCTCGTCGCCGGCGTCGCCGCTCCTCTCCGGTGGCGTCGACGAGGCGCCCTCGCTGCTGCCCACCACCACGAGCAGCGACGGGGACGAGGGCGGCGAGTTTGGCGTCGGCACGACCAACGGCGGTGCCAAGGAGGCGGCGGGCGACGACGTGCGGCTCACCGAGGAGGACATCAGCGACGCCGACGGCGAACTCACCTACGAGGACGTCGACGAGGAGGGCGTACCCGGGCGCACCACCAAAGTCATCGCCTCCGGTACTCTCTACCACCACCCCCCCTCCCCCCAAATACCTCCTCTTCCCCGTCTGCCGTGCCTCCTCTCTCTGTCGCGTGGTCGGTCGGTCAGTCGGTCGGTCTGTCTCACCGTACACCGGGGTGCAGGGCCGCGCGGGAAGCTGATCGAGGCGCTGGTGATTCCGCGCACGATACCGGAGCCCTTCTACACGGAGGCCTTCCTCCTCACGCGGGCCTACTTCATCTCCTCCCGCGCCCTCCTCAACCGCCTCATTCACTTTTTCCTGTACGCTCCCCCCTCCCAAGAGTGTTTTATTTTCATTCATTCATTCAATTCAATTTAATTTAATTCTCTTCTCTTCTCTTCCTCTCTCTCTGGTGTGTGCGCGCGCGTGTGCGTGCGTGGTGCAGGCACTACCAAGAGCCGAACGGAGCCAAGGAGGACCCGGCGGACGTGAACAAGCTGCAGAAGCCCATCCAGGGTCGGGTGCTGAACGTGCTGCAAAAGTGGGTGGAGAACAGCTTCTACGATTTTGCCGAGGACGACGTGCTGCTCGAGCGGCTCGTCCGATTTGTGGCCGACAACATCCCCACCAACATGTTCGCCCACAAGCTCATCAAGGGCGTGCGCAAGAAGGTATATATAACCCTCCTCCGCCTCCGCCTCCGGCTCCTTGGCGCATGGCGCTTGGCCTCTTGGCGCCGGCCTCGCATTGTTGGGATTCCGAGTCCCTGATCACCGCGGGGCGTGTGGGTGCGAGCAGAAGCGGGAGTTCAAGCTGGTCCTGGAGGGCGACAAGGAGGCCGGCATAGAGAAGCTCTTCGAGCAGATATTGGGACCCACGGCCGGCCCTGAGGCCGCGGACGCCCCCGCCGAAGCCGTTCGTCCGGCCAAGGAGAAGAAGAAACCCAAGAACATCATCGCCACCCACCTCACCATCCGGTATGAAGACCACTACACATACCACACATACCGCCCATCGGGGGGGGGTTGGCCTGACATGTTCATGGCTCCCCTCCCCCTCCCCCTCCATCAATTGTACAACAGAAGAGGGCACCGCAGAGGAGCCTCGGAGGGTGACGAGGAGAAGAAGCTCAACTTCCTCGAGATCGGAGCGCGCGACCTCGCCGTCCAGCTCACGCTCCTCGAACAGGTGGGCCGATCTCTACCCCCCCCCCTCCATCAACGCTGATCACTCGCGAGTGTGGCACTCAACTCCGGTCGCGGATCACCCTTCCGTCGTCGTATGTTGTGTGCGTGTGCGTGTGCGTGTGCGTGTGTGCAGGAGATGTTTGCGCGCATCAAACCATCGGAGCTGCTGTTCGGCAACGCGGGCAAGAAGAACAAGCACCAGCTGGCCCCGCACGTCATGCAGCTGGTGAACTGGTTCAACCGGATCGTGAACTGGGTGGCGTCGGTGATCGTCGTCAACCCCAACATCAAGGAACGACGCTTGGTCGTCAAGCGCTTCCTCGAAATCGCCGATGTACGCAGTCCCAACCATGGCGCGCCGCGGGGTTGACCTTGAGCTCCTCCTCCCTCAACCTAACGCGTGTATGCTTGTCGCCTTGCAGGAGTGCCGCAAGCTCAAGAACTTCTTCGGCCTGCAGGAGATCGTGTCGGCCCTCAACATGGCCTGCATTGAGCGATTGCAGGCCACGTGGAAGGGCATGTCCCGACAGGACCTCGCCCTCTTCTCCGAGCTCTCTGGTTCGCTTCCCCCTCCCTCCCTCCCTCCCTCCCTCCCTCCCTCCCTCCCTCCCTCCCTCCCTCCC